ATCGCCATGGGAAATACACGTGTGTACATGTGTGAATGCAGAGGAAATGTATCGAATGCTGCAGCTACGTCTCTAACCTGCGTTATTCACTACTGGGAATGCCCACTTACTACATAACAACCAATGTGGGATGAGAGAAAGATTGTTGCGAGGATGTCGATGAACCAACTGTAATGACAAGCACAGCTCGGGCCCTGCTTGACAGGGAACTGTCAACGAAGAAGCAAAACAAGCTCTTGGATAAGGATGTCTTTTGTTCAGTTCAATCTCATTACTTTCCTGTAAATTTCAAATTTCTGTTGTTTTTCCTGACGTGGAAAGAGCTTCGTTGAAATTTATTCAAGCCAACTTCAGTCGGTACAACCGAGCATTATCAAATGTGTGTTGTATGAGCAGGAACTGGCTTTGATAGTTCATCCAGAAGTATTTAGATAGTGCATTTTTTGAGAATCAATCGCTATTCGCAAGCAGGTCACAGGGACGTATCGATATGCATAATTGTACCAAGCCAAGATGTTTATAAAAGCTTTTACGCTGGTCGTTGAAGGCCAGGCTCATCAGCCTTGAGGAGTGACAGATATTTTGTCTACCTATACAGAAAATTTTAAGGGTACACGCCCCACTATGTATTTGACTAGACAATGCTTATTGAGATATTGAAAAAGGGTGTTGTCAATCAAAAAAATAATGAAATAAATTCTTAACAAAGGAAAGGCAAATTCGCACCATTTTTCCCAATTTATTCTTACGTCGGTAAAATTATTCACACTAATTTAAAGAGCTTAGTTCTAATTGTTTTTTTCATTTTTGAGAGTTGCAATGAGTTGCTTGATTCAACTTGCTCTTTGGACTTGTTGAACAAACCTTCTGAAATACGTTCAATGTTATTATGTACTGTTTTATTGTTCTATCTTCATATTTAATTTAAACTTATGTTTTAACAAGCAATCCACGCCAAGACAGTGAATTTGATTTTTCTCTAATTTTGGACTATTTCCTATGACTTACTTACCTCCTTGCAACTAATGGTCCCCAATTATCGGCACAAGAGTGGAAACTTTGATGTTTTTTCGAA